GGGGTAGCCTGCGGACGAGGCCGGGGCTAATCATCTGAGCGCGGCTCCTCGGGAGCGAGAGAAGCCAAACAACTCCAGGTGGGTGTAGCTGCAGGGCTGCTTGGGTTTCAGACTACAGGAAGCCCGTTTCAGTTGCAACAATTGAATCTTTGCCAACGTCAGTGTTGAACTGATAGTTCAGATCTTTTGAACAGAAGTTCCATGGAAAGGTCATGAACTTATCTGCTGTAGGTAGCTCTTTAAATAAGCTCAGTTTGAAGTAATAGTTTAATTTTAACCTGTACTGAGAAAGAAGCCACTTTTATTATCCTTAAGATGAACTGCTGCATGAAAGGTTCATGTTTTGGAGAACTCAGAACTTCTTTTTAATAGAATAAAGCAGGCTAAAGTGACACTCCTGAAATGGTATTCCCAAAGCCCTGACCTTAACCTCTTTAAAAATATGTGGACTACAAACACAAGCCAGAACCGTGGCAGAAAACAAACCAATATAAATGAACTCTACTAATTCTTTCGAGGAGAGTGGTCAAATTAAAAAAGGGCCATTTAACCAAATTTTACCGTACATTTTTGTCCCTACGTGGATTGGAAAAAATCCACTGTAAATTCAATTGCTACTAAATTCTTGATTTTTAGAAAAACAATCACTAGCTGCGTCTCCATTGACCATGACAATGCGCAAATTAGAATTTCGAAAATAAATTTGCATAATGGAAACACGTCAGTTTAGACAAAATGGTTTTTACGCTAGGACGAGGTGGTTTTTCAGCCGTATCGAAATTGATGTTTTTCGCAAAACTGCAATTGAAACACTTTTTTCGCATCACGGGAGTCACCGACTATTTCTACTGGTGAAAAAGACGATGAAGAAGAAGACAACAAGAAGTAGAAGTAGTAGTAAAATTACATAAGTTGTAAAAGAAAGTAGTAAACTCACAGACTACAATTTCCCAAAAAGGCAGCATACGTAACCACTCCCAAATATAAGGGGCTCAAAGCCTCAATAAGACACTGACATCTCCTCTGATGATGAGCGCTAGTGTCGTGGTAGCAATAGGCATGACTGTTTACATCCATTGTCACCACGTTTGTAATGATTTATCGTGAGAACCAACGTATTCACGCGTGACTTTAATAGCATTTCTTACTTAATGGAAACACCGCAATTGCGAAACTGTTTTTTCAACATTAACAGAATGTTGACAAAGTTTTGCGCACATTTGCAATAGAAACACAGCTACTGAAATTGTTTGCTGAATGTATTCAAGCTTAGAAGAGGTTCAAATAATTAATTTAAAGTCCATAATTCCTGCTCACGATGAGTAAAACTTTTGGCTGCAACCGTATCTACAACAGGTAAGATATTAATTGTTCATACCATTTGCACAGAAAAGCGGAGGTGGATTTGAAGATATGTTGTTTTTGCAGAATTTGGGAGGTTTTTGACGCCGGCGTTACCTTGCTCTGAGTCGGTGGAAATGGTGGAGCCCATGCTGTCGGTGCGGATGCGCTCCACGGACCCCGACACGGAGAGCTGCTCCAGGCGACGTTTGAGGTAGCGGTGCTCTCGCTGAAGCTGCTCCTTCATGTTTAAAGCCTTCCTGTCCTGCTCCTCCAGCTTCTGCAGGCAAACACAGAAAAGACTGAAGATGAGCGACAACGATCACACGGCTCAATTATGTTCACTTTTCACCGGAGATCAAAGGCAAAAATTATTTTTTCTTTGGTTTTTTTTGCTCATTTATTGTGATTTTGCACAAATTATATTTAAAAAGTTAAATAAAAGCATTTGAGTTAGAAGTAAACATAAATATTTAGGCTACAGCTTCTATACCTTCTGTAGATTACTGGGTTGTCTTCACATAAATGTATAATCTAGTCTTGTCCAACATATATTGTTCTCAACGTTATAAAGTAAGAAAATCTTTAAAAAATAAATTTATTTTCAACAGTTAAACCTCTACCAATGATACAAAAAGAAAGGGTTCACCTTTTAAATTTTTCAACCACTTTTTTTAATGAAGCAGCCAAATTTTATTAGGTTTCCAGGTCAAGAACTAAAAATAAACAAATTGTTTATGAAAATTTAACTCCGTGCAAGGAGTTATATTCTGCACCCATCTGCATCTGAAAGTGCTGGGTGGTGAATCAAAGCGAGGCCTGGTGTCATTCGAGAAGACGGTGCAGTGATGAGAATCTGCCTATCAGAGAGGACATGCACGATAAACAGGAAGCGAAGGGTTAAAACGCTCGACGGCTGGATTTTCCACTAACCACACTGTTGTTGCGTGCCTGTAAACAGCTCGATCACACAGCAGGACCTGAACTGTACTTACAGTTGGCCTGCTGCTGCAACAACCCTTTCAAACGTTTCATGCATGACGTTTTTCCAAGCTTCCCCGTGTCACCACTACTCCCGAATACCTCCTCTTTCAATGCTTCCTTGTGTTTGTGAACTGAAACGATGATCAGAAGCGAGGCGAGTTTATCTTTGCACAAACAAAACATCTCGTTATCTTCTTATCTAGATCAGTGCAGCCCACTCTGCTGACTCATTTAAGAATCGCTTTCCTTTCAGCCTTGAATTGTTTTCTGACAAATCGGATGGAAAGATATGAGACACTTTAAACCAAATCAAAAAAATATTCTCTCCTGTTTTGAGTCAGAAATGTAATATTATATAGAACCAAACATTTTTTACATCATTCACCAAAGCTTACAGTGATAATTCTGAATGGGTTTGCATGGATAAAAGTAGAAGATTTAGGACTTTAAACAAAGAAATTAGATTTTAATGTTGGATACTTTTCAAGGCAAAAGACCGAAATTAACAGGAATAACAGGAAACTTGCACACGTGAACTACTTTTTTTGTTTGTTTGTTTTTGAATGAGTTTGGGTTTTTTTTTTAGTACCTTAATGTGCATTTTGGCCCTTTTCAGCAAGCTCAGGGTGGTGTGTCGTGTGCTGTCTGGACCCAAAGGCACCAACTTCTTCAACTGCTCCAAGTAGAGCCGTAGTTTGGCACGTCTGCAAGCACACACAAGAACAAAATGAGTCAGCACCTGTCCACCAGCCACACACACACACACACACACACACACACAGACACACACACACACATATACACAGACACACACAAACAAACACAAAGGTCGAGAGCAGCTCAGAGGCACGTCCCTAAATAGCAGAGGCAGATGCTGTTTTTGTCTGCTCTGATTTTCATGGTGCGTTCATGTGCAGTGGGACTGCTTCGCCGACCGACTTCGGTGCGCTGGACGCTGAAGCTCGGCAGGGTTTGTTTCACTCGTGGACATCAGACGTTTTTGAAGGACTGAAGCAACGTTGCTTCTTAGTGCTTAAGTTTGTTTAATGCTTACCAAGGCCTCTAACATGCAACAAATTAAAAAAAAAAACAGTCAAAGCTGCAGTAATGACTGATAAGTGTTGAATGGTGTTAAACACAAAACCACATCAGTCGGATCTTATTTGCCTTGTTGAAGTTAATCCATTACAACGTCACCACTTGAGGCAGACCATTTGATTAGCTGGAAGATTAATTAGGCCAATTTTTACCATGAAAACAAAAATTGGCAGCGGCTAAGCCTGAATATGTTAGACAGGCATGTCTGTGGGCAGCATTTGACACAATAAGCTCTTGTGTATCTTTCATAGCAGGGGTGCTTTTGTCAGTACAACACCAATAAACCCTAAAGAAAGCTGACATTCATATTATGCTAGCTTCACATGATCAACTAAATGCATTTAAAATCTGTGGGTCCAAACTAAAATTATTGCCTTGATGATGTCATCATTTGTGGCCTGTGTAGACTTTAAAACATCGGTCAAAACTTTTATTCTGTTTTTATTATTAGCACTAGAATCTGTTCCTTTGGCGGAACAGTGGTTAGCGCTGTTGCTTATAGAAAATGGATGGACTACAGATTTTTTTTGTGAAAATTACGGATTTCTGAGGTTCAAGATACAGATAAATGTCCGAAGGGGTTGACATGCCAGTGATGTTTGGGTCAATAACAAATAAACTTGCTTCAACTGTAGGCCATCAGCTGCCCCGATTTCCAAAAATTTACATTTTAATCGACCATTGAAAAAAAAGCCCTAGTTGGCAAATTTTTAGATGTTTCAAAATAAAAGCCTCTGTGATTTAAATGTAAAAGAAGAGAAAAAATCCTGAGGGTATTTTGCTGCAACATCTCGTGAAAATGTTGGTGGCTTGCCACCTTTTTACCAAAAGAAAGACGGGTGATACGCCCCTTTTGGAAAGCTGAAAGTGTGTGTTGCAGCTAGTAAACACAAAACAGCTTAAGTGAGATGATGAAGTACATCTAATGCTTTTAATGTAAACTAAAAAACTCAAATTTTTTCTCAGTCTTTGATCTTACTGGTTCAGTTACTGATCATAACCGTCACCACATTCCTCTAGAATGAATGAATATTATTCACCAGTGTTTTCCAAAATGCCCCACAACCGGACAAACCACCCGAAACAGAAAAACCACCTTTAACAAAAATATGATAAGCACTGACTCATCCCAACAACTTCATATTTCCTCCGGTCTTCAGGAACACAACCGCCCAACCAGGTTGAGGAGCAGTTAAACGGCTGAGAATACATGAAGGCACTCCCGCAAATCTCAGTGGTAGACGATTTACAGCTATTGTTTGATGATTTTTATCTCCATGCCACTGGTGATTCATGCCGCCGATGTTGTCTTTGTGAACAGATACTGTATAAGTCTCACTGTACACCCACGTGTCACTCAATCACCCGGACAAACAGGGTCTCAGAATGAAGACGTAATTTCTGTCTTTCCTGTTTTCACTTATCGTCTCACCATGTGCCTCGAGGTTTCCTGAGTACGTTCTGATGGCACGTTTCCACACACCGACACACTCCGCTGCTCAAAATGTCAAACTCGGTGCGCACTGCAGCCGAACGCACAGCTCTCGAAGTCATGGGGACGGTGTGCTAAAAACCATGATTGACCAAAATGGGAACTCGGAGTCTAGAGGCAGACTGTGACCCCAGAAATCCCTGCATCCCTGCCAAAGTCCTGCAGGCCAACAACTCTGAGTCCTCAAGCAAACAGCTCTCTGGGCGCACCGTTTAGGATGTTTATTCAGGCGATAGCGAGGACGAGGCAGAGTTAATCTCTGACTGCATGGAGTGACTTTCTCTAGATTCTGTATATTATTTAAAGACAGCTCTAATTCCAGACACTTTTTGTTTTTGCTTTTTTTTTTACATTGCTATATCCCCCGCTCTCTGTTCTTGGCCCATTCAGATTTGCTCATAAAGGCCTTTCAATCCTCCATTAGTGAAGCCGGACCATGAACCGTTTCTTTGTTCAGAGCTCTCCTTCCCCTCCCCTTCCCCCCTGTTCCTTTGGCTAACTCCAGCTGAATGGTAAACAAACTCCAACAATGGCAAGATCTCCTCCGACCATCGCTGAGGCCACAGAGCCACGGAGCTCTCTGGTGGTTCGCTGCTCACATGAACACAGCTGGAGGACTGGTCTCGCTGAGGTCTTCCAGTTTGCATCTTTCACCTGGGGTCTGCTTTTAAATGGAGGTGGATCAGAACAGGTGGGACAGCTGACAGACCAAAAGAGTCTAAACATTACCGTAAATGAAAATCTTGTCATTTAGAAGGGTTTGGTTTTAGCCATAAAAGTTGTTTTTTGTTGTTGTAAAAATAAAAATTGCTTAAACAAACTTTGTACAGGTGCAGAGAGGTGTTCCATGAGAAGGCCGTGTGAAAGTGCTCTCTCAACTGAACCCCTTCAACCCTCCGCTCCACCCTGCCAACACCAACACACCCTCATCCCTCTGGAAAACAAGTGTCTTCTGAGGACAGGGGCGGGGGCCCTCCCCCAGCCCGCCCCAGAGTCCAGCCACATGAAGCGCTTGGTCCGCAGCCAGGGGAAGCAGGCAGGAAGGAGCGGGGGGTCTCTGCAGCCTAAGGAGGGATGGAGGGTGTTTTTCTGGAATGGGAGTGGACAACTCTCTCTCTGGGGTTGAAAAATGGGCCTCTTTCAGCAGAGCGTGCTCAGCTGCACCAGGCAGAGCTCCACACATCATCATCCAAAAGGGTAACCTGAGCCAACCATCACGGACCCCCGCCCTATACCCATCCCCACCCTTGTGTAATAAAAAATAAATAAATCAAGCGTTCCCCCCAAAAAACAACCTTTTTTTAACTCAATACTTATCCGGCCGTGCAGGTAGGTGGACTGTGTATTTAATGTGGTTTGAAGAGGTCAGAAATCTGCTCCAGTGCAGTTCTTTTAAATATCATAGCACTGTTTTGTGCTGAAGCCTTTAAAAATGCAACACTGGAAAAAAAATCAGGCATTACTCATTTCATTATATTTTAAATTCAAAGGAGCCAAAAGTTTTATTTTTTATCATCTTTTTTATTTTTTTATTACCCATGTTTGTTTTTCCTCAATCATTCTTTTTAATCCGGTCCTTGTACCAGATTTGTTTAGAACAAAAAGAAATTTACTAAAGAAGAAAACTTTTATTTTAGTTTATTTGTTTGAAATGAAAAGGCCTTGCCTAGAAGAAAACTAAAAAAAAAAAGGAAAAAAATTAATTTGATTCTGGAATCAGCCTGACTACAGTGGAACAGAGCTAATGCCCTCTAAAATCACCATGTCTAACAAAATACACACACACACACACACACACACACACACCTCTGTACGATCGCAGCGTCTTTGTTTGAGGAGAGCTCAGTGTTCCTGATGTATATCAACAAAACAGGGCTTAGTTAAACCCAACATTGTGTTTCCCTGACAGCTCCCTCGCAGCAGAGTGTGCTCCCCCGTCACGAGACACGCTCGCTATTTTTCCTCAAGAGCACACAGCTGATTTACAGCAGGGCGGGGGTGGGCAGGACCCTCCCTCACTCACTCACCCACTCACTCACTCACTCACGTTTGTTTTTCCTGAGCTGAGCCCTTGTCACGCAATGTTTATCAGATCGCCTGGAACAGCCGCGCACAAAGAGTGGCATGTTCAACGTGAACGCCGTGTCCCTGACGGAGAGCAGACAGTTTGCTCATTCTGACCCGAGTGAATTTAAAAAAAAAATACATTTTTAAACTAGTTTAGTGTAGGATATTCCGTTCGTCAGTGGCATCGCAGGAGGAGGCTGCTGTTGTGGTTTTGCAGGATTTTCAAGTTAAACGTCAGGAGTGACAGCACGAAATAAAAAAAAAGGCATTTAGTAGTTTGTCGTCGCAGCAGCTTCTGAGCACGGAGGAACCTGACTGTTTTTATGTGCCTGAGCACCACAGGATGATTTGTGTCCAACCTCTGGCCTTCCCTCCCCACGCCTGTTCTCTCTTTCCATCAGCAGCTCAGTGCCAAAACAAAGACTTTTGGGACAAGAAAAAAAACAAAACTTTTGCTCCAATTTAGACGCACAGAGCTTGAAGTGAAACAAGCTATTTAAAGTGCTGACGTACACTCCAAATGTTGCTGAGCACACACGCTGTCTGTCCTTTCAGACCTTGGGCCTGTGAAGTATCTTGTTTTGTTGCTCAAGTGTACTTGCAGCGACATGAACATTTATGATACTCGCGCACTCTGGAGTATTTTTAAAAACAGCTAGCTTGCTCCGTGTTCACAAATGCACGCACGCACACACATTCCTGGTGGCCACAGAGTGTCTCAGGATGGCTTTATGTGCTCACAAAGAGCCTGAGAAGGCAGACTAGAGCAAACAACAAGTCTTCAGGCTGCACTCAGTGCACTGTTTAATGAACTTAAAGCACCGTATTCCTCTTCCCATGCATGCAGGACCGAGTGAGACATGTGGCACACAGCCAAGCCTGCTCAGCAAAGGTTAGAGGTGGTCAGAGTCTCCACTGCCATTTGTTTTTTCCTTCATCGCCAAAAGAGTTCAGAAAAAGGCTTTGAGGCGAGAACACTGCAACACTGTCCAGCTCCGGTGTCGTCTCTGCTCGAGTCGCAACAACATCAGCAAACAAGGAAGCACT